TCAGTTCTGCTGTTTTTGAGATGGGTAATACGAAAGTAATTGCAGCTGTTTATGGCCCAAGAGAGGTACTTTGTTTACTCATTCTCTTACATTGATGATTTCTTTATTGGTACATTTTTGTTGTGTGTGTTAATTGTATCTTTGTGCTCTCAGATTCAAAACAAGAGCCAACAACTAAAGCATGATCGTGCATTGGTATGTATATGTTTTGATTTTGTTTGGTATTCTTGTTGGCGAAAAGCTTTGTGAATTCGAAATGCTTCTTCCGTCTAATTTGTATATTTTTGTTGGTAGGTGTTGTGTGAGTATAGTATGGCTCAGTTTAGTACTGGTGATCGTAGAAGACAGAAACAGGACAGGTTAGATTTACATATATCTAAAAGGCTCTCGCTTGTTCTTGCAAAAACCGCCTGGTCTTGAAAATTGAATTGTTGTGTGTTATGGTCAGGCGAACAACTGAGCTATCATTAGTCATCCGTCAGACAATGGAAGCGTGTATATTAACGGAACTGATGCCTCATTCTCAGGTTAACGTTCTACATTCCGGTGAACTTGAAACTGAACTATTCAGGAGAAATTTGAGTTTTTGAATGTGCACAGCATTTGCTAACCATGGTTCGAATCCTTAGTTAATGATGGATTGTTTCTTTTATGCAGATTGACATTTTCCTTCAGGTTCTACAAGCTGATGGAGGTAAAGAAATAACTCTCTCTCTATTTCTCAAGTTCTAAAACCACACTTTTTTCTATCTCTGGATCCGTTGTTAGTTTTATGTTCTGTAATCAGGAACACGATCAGCTTGTATCAATGCCGCGACTCTAGCTCTTGCAGATGCTGGAATTCCAATGCGTGATCTTGCTGTCTCCTGTAGTGCTGGATACCTAAACAGTACTCCTCTTCTCGGTAATACTCATTTTAATACATTCATTAGCACACGATTTTTCGCTTTTCGTAGTTAAAGAGCTAATGAAATTTCCATATTAGATCTTAACTATGTCGAAGATAGCGCTGGAGGAGCTGATGTAACTGTCGGTATTCTACCTAAAACAGACAAAGTGACA